TAGTGTGGGTAAAAAACGAAATAGTTAAATTTTCAAATGATTATCTCTACTTCTATACCAAAGATGGGATTAAAAAGATTAGTTTAGTAGATTCAAATATAGTTGACTTAAAAATTAATGCGTTTAGTCAGTTTCCAAAAGCTGAATTAAAAAAAGTCCTGAAAAATCCTGGAAAGAAAAAAATTAGATCAAAGAATAGGGCTACCCAACAATAGTTTGTTCAAAACTTTTACTGAGGAAATGACTACATTTAAGAATCTTAATATTGAGCAAGTTGTTACTTGGTTACTTGGCAGAGGAAAGGGATTAACGCCAAGCGGTGATGATATCCTTTGTGGTTACATTTTCATACTATTATTAGTTGGCAAAGCAACTAATTATTTATCAAACTTTATTGAACAAATAATTAGTAATCTGAGTCTTACTACTGATGTGAGTAAAGCTTATCTAATTTGTGCAACACAAGGATACGTTAATTCCAAAGTTTATCAATTATATGAATCCTTGAAAAATCATGATTTAAAAAATATAGACCGTGAGCTAAATTCCATTCTTAATATTGGCCATACTTCGGGTAATGATTTGAGTTATGGGATTGAACTGGGTATTTTAGCTAGTTTAAATACTCCTGAGTCTATGAAAGGAGCGAATAATGAAAAACGACGAAGAAGCCGTAAAGGTTCTAAAAACTATTGGATAAGAGTCGTCATTATATTCTTCTTAGGTTGGATATTAATGTATGGAACGCGTACCATTTTTAATCCAATTATGGGAATCGTTGGCAAACAGTTTGGTTTAAATAATACTCAGCTGGGATTAGCCAATAGCATATTCTTTTTGACCTATGCTGTCTTCCAAGTACCATTTGGGGCGTTAGGCGACAAGTATGGAAGAAAATTGGTGATTACTATTGGGTTTCTTGTTTTAGCTGTGATGAGTTGGTTATCAGGAATTGCAGCTAGCTTTACTTATTCTGATAATTAGAGCTCTTGCTGGTTTGGTCAAGCTTCCTATTATGGTCCACAATATGCACTGTCTTCAGAAGCTATTCCAGAAGATAAGTTAACTCTTGGTACTGCAATCATCAACTCAGGTATGGCTTTTGGTACTTCTGGTGGATACCTGCTTTCAAGCTATTTAGTATTACAAAATCATCAAAGTTGGAAAGTTCCTTTCTTTGTAGTAGCTGTCCCAACAGCTATCTTGGCAGTTTTATTTTATACATGTTTAAAGGAGAAAGTTTATAGACCTAAAAAGGCTGAAAAAGTATCAGAGAATCAGCCAAAAGAAAAGGTTTCTCTTAAAAAGATTTTCACCAATAAAATTGGTTGCGGCATTTGTTCTTTGCTTTTGTAGTATTTATGCCAATTTTGTAATTATTACTTGGCTACCATCGTTTTTAATTTCCAATAGGGGATTCGAAGGTGGCAGTGTAGGATTTATTTCTTCGTTAGTGCCTTGGGCTTCCATACCGGGTGCTCTAGTATTTGCTAAATTAGCCGATAAAACTGGTAGTACAAAAAAATGGATCTACCTTCTAGTACCGTTATCAATTATTTCAGTATTTGCGATTGCTTTTGTTTCCAATAAAGTTTTGCTAATAGCAGTACTTATTTTATATGGGCTAACCGGTAAGCTGGCAATTGATCCTATTATTGTAGCCTATGTTACAAAGAAAGCTCCATCAGGTTCTTTATCAACAACATTAAGTGCTTATAACTTTATTGGTATGTCAGGTTCCATTTTGGCACCTTATATCACTGGCTGGCTAGCAGATGTGACTGGACAATGGAAATCGGTTTTTATTTAGGCTGTGGTCTATTAATAATTGGCTTGATTGTATTTGCTGTACTGGCAACTGACTCAAAGAAGGGAGAAACAGCTGTATAATGGCTACTAGTGTAATCGCCCTAGGTGGGAATGCAATTCTAGAGAAAGATCCAACCGATATTGGGCAAAAAGAAACGGTTAATAGGGCAGCAAGATATATTGTTGAATATATAAAGGCTGGAAATAAAGTGGCAATTTGTCACGGTAATGGTCCGCAAGTGGGTAATTTGTTGTTGCAACAGAATGCCGCTAATTCTAAGAAAAATCCTGCTTTTAGACTTGATACCTGTGGGGCAATGACAGAGGGTAGCATTGGTTATTGGATTCAACAAGGGCTAGATAATGCTTCTAAAGATCTTGGTCAAAATATCAAATCTCTTACGGTTATTACCCAATCTGAAGTTGATAAAAATGATCCATCTTTCAGGTCTCCAAGTAAGCCGATAGGCCCCTTTTATACCAAAAAAGAAGTAATTGAATTACAAAAAAATAGTAATGATATGTTATAGAAGATGCTGGTCGTGGATATAGAAAAGTAGTACCTTCTCCTAAACCAATAAAAATAGTCGA